CCAACAGCTTAACTATTACCCGATTAATGGGAAAATTTATTTTATGCTATGGCTTAGTAGTTAAGTTCATAGTTATGAATGTATTCCAGAAATACTTAAAAATGAATAGTTTATTAATAACGAATGTATCAATATATTTGTGTATATTATGTCATATAAGTAACATTAAAAATATATTATATTGAATTATATATTTTTTCATAATATTTATTTATATATATATATATATATATATATATATATACATGCGTATATATTTGTGTGTGTGTGTGTGTGTGTATATTTGTATTGTATATGTATATTTATGTAAGTACACACTTTGACTACCTCTATTTCCTTCAACTATCCTTCATTAGGCCTGCTGGCTGAAATTTCAACATGGAATATGCCAGTACCTTTGTACATAATTATGTTTTTACCATTTTCCTATCGAATTATGTGTGTACATAAACTGTTAAATAAATAAATAAATATTTCCTCATTAGTCCATGTCGCCATGTTGAAACAATTTTATTAAGCCTGCAAACAGTCTACTCCGACGCGTAACTATGAACTGAACACTCGGCCAACGTGTGAACACTGTTTGCGGCTTGCGCCAAATTCCTTTGATTTGTGCACGGAAAACCGACACTATACGGCTCGTCGGCGATCGTTGGCCGCAAACGCCAAATATATACAAAACGGCCCAGTACACGTTGGCCGAGCGCACTCGGCGAGCGCGCTCGGCCAACGTGTACTGGAACCATCAGGTTTTGTACGATTGTAGGTATTTATATCACGCAGGTAGCAAAGTGACAGCGACTTGCTGTAGGTGTTGTCTTAACAAAATCCAAAAAGATATGGCTTCCGGTAGATGTCGCTTTACACATAAACTAGGAATGGACAGCAGCATTAAAGGTTCTAAACGATTGGTACTGCGATCGTCTACCCAAACGTTAGGATTATAGCAAATCATTCCTTCCACTTAACGCGAGAGGCTCGTATACAGCTGTAGAGTTTAAGGTCTGATGAGGAAGATGAAAGGAAATATTACGGACAGGAAACAATAAAAAAATACCAAAAGCCTTTAATTAAATTGTCGTTCTTTTAATAATTATATGTAATACTTTATAACATAATTACACGTTACATTTACAATAATAATTCTCAAGATATCAAACTCTCGTGATAGTCTAAAACAACATAATATTTTAATTCAAACATAGGTGTGATAGAAAATGTAATTTTTATAACGAAATGCGTTTTAGAGCTAAGCTTACTTCGTACATAGGGCAATAAATTACGTAAATATAATTTAGGTAATTAGAATCATTACAAATATACAACAAACACGAAAGTATGAACTACCTAAAAATAAAACTACCCAAAAAAGTCAATCTATAAAAAAATATTAACACTGCTGCACTAATCGCTCGAAAAAATCTAGCAGTCGTTTAGTAAATTCTTAAAAATTAAGTAAAGCTGTCTGAAAAATATTTTTGACGAAACTAACATTTACACAAACAACGGTGCAATGTTTTAAGTATGGTATAAAATAAATAAAACAATAAAATTAAATAAAAGCACATTATTTGCCTGCTAAGTATGTTGCCTGTCTTCAGAGACTATAGCTTTTAAAATTATCGCTTAATTAAAAAAAAAGTATGTTGGACAAATCAAAATCATTAACTAAATGAAACTGGTTTAATCAATCACTTAATTGGACGGTTAGGCCCTTATTTAAACGCGAACATTCAAGTAAAAATGTAAATTTTATATATAGATGGCCTAGTCGCATCACTTCATTTAATATTTGGGCTGACAAATCAGACATTTAGATACGGCTGATTCAAGAACCACTAAGACGACAAAATTTGTCGTATTTGTTGTGCAAATGTGATCTCTTGTCCGCGTGGCATAGACGGCGGCAGCTATTATAACGCTCATTTCACGAGATGGTGTCAGCAGCTGATAATTTTACCGATTAATAAGTGATTTGTAATCGTTTTAACAATAGAAAACATGGTTTTACTTACAAATCTCATGAAATTAAATTATAAACATAAATTTTTACTAAAACCTTCACCAACGCCTTGCAAACTGTAATTATTGTGGCAAAACATTAGGACTTTTGCTAAACGTTACACGCGTAAGCGATTTGTCTCATCTTTTTTTAGGCATGCAATTGAATGCCAGCGTACTATGGCAAGCCCGTCCAACTAACTGGTTGATTTTTGAGTTTGCTGAATTTTATAAAAAGTCCAGCAAAACTCAATAAAACTATTTTTCAAATTGCCAACTCCGTTTTAAAATAGATAAACATGTTTATTTTTAGCAAAATTTATTCAATAAATAATATTCGATTGACGGCATATTCAGCAAAAACAAAATATTTGTAACGTTTACAGAGTAGCAATTTATGAGATAAGAAACAAGTTATTAGATAGCTACCTATTTTTAAAATTTTTTGTGTTTGAATTATTTGACATGACATTCAGCGAATGACAAATTTTATGATATGGATATTGTTATATTATTGTATTTCACGATGAAGTTTTGACTTTGGTTGTTCTTAGCTGTGCACATACACATTGTGTTAGTGTGCGTAAGTCTCAGGAGCACTAATCCCGAGCGCCCGCAGCCTACACACACTAACACAATGTGTATGTGCACAGCTAAGAACAACCAAAGTCAAAACTTCATCGTGAAATACAATAATAACTATACTTATTTTAATTAATAACTTTGATTATACATTGTGTTATAAGCGGTCATAAAATATTTTAATTAAATTTAAAAGATTTTTTGCTATATTCTAACAAGTAATATAATGAATACTATTTAATAAAACATATGGGCAATCAATATTAATAATTTCCAACATAACCACAATTCAGCTTAATTAGAAAATAAATTTCTACCATCTTACGCGTTTTGAAACCGAAATCTCGAAGCGCCTAACTTCAGTACGTTATTATTTATTACTTAGCACAAGTCTCATAAGACAGGACAGACAAACATAAAGACAATAATGTATGTATGTAGTAAGTCCCATGCGTCACGTTAATGAGGAAAATCACCTATCAATATTTCATTTAAAATACAGAATACTTAATCATTGATTAGTGATAAAAGGACTAACAATGCAATTATAGGATTCATTATATCTGTTAATTCAACAATAAGCTAAAACAAAATTTTGATAATTCGAACAGCATATCCATAGACGGAATCATCAATCAAGTCACATCTTGGTCATTTATAAAAATAGTTTTTATTCCTCTAACACAGTACATAAAGGTTGTATCTAAGACAAAACACTCTTTATATTACTTTAAAAGAAATAATTGGTAAAATGAAGTTTTAAACAAGTGTGACAAACAATATAAATATTTTCTATTCATTCGCTGTTTCAGTTCTATCAACTATTGCTTAAAATTCCAACATTATAGAATGTCCTATTTATTTGTATATAAGCTTTATTCTCTCATTAGCGAGCGACTAACAATTTGTTTGTACATTTCATACGAACAATTTGATCATTTTAGTCAGCAGTAAGGCAAATCCGTTCCAACTTACATCTGAATCTATGTATTTTAAAACAGAACCTTGACTAACCTAATTTAACCAACATAAACCAATCTATATTAACACTAGCTAATAATTTATTTACAATAAAGAATTGTGCCTCATTAGAACATTATTAAATTTGTAACCCACATGGAGCATTATAATACAAAAAGTGCTGACACAATATTCACATAAAAGAATACACACATCCATTTATACACTTATTAGACTATTTTTGCACTTTCAAATTGCCACTTAATTGGCTTAAACTCGGAATATCTCAATTTAATTAAGATTTTCATAACCCATTTCCACGATCAACGCTTCTAACTAGTATGTAATCTAATGTGATCTATATTTACAATGTTTAGAGAAGGAAGAGATATTGTTACAAAATGACGAGGTACAACAACCATGTGCAAAACACATATCGAAACAATTTATTTTTACAAATGGCATTAGACTATTACTAAAAGTGGTTTCAATGTACACAAATTCCTTTATTTGGCTCATATTTACAAGTCATATCACATGAAGTTAATTGCTGTCGCGTATTCAACGTTGGTCACTAGTACTGCAAACTACTTTGGATTATAAGCTATGTAACCTACTTGTTGTATATTTTGTTCGCAATAAACAGCACAAACGGAAATGCACTTTACTAAGGTTTATATTGCCAAATAATCCAATGGTAGAAATTATTTATATTTCTAGGTAGTATGACTCCTTCACTACTTAGAAGTCCGATTAAGTAAAAAATATCGATGTATCGAAATTTTCTCATAAACATATCGATATATATCGTCGATATTTTTAATCGCTATAATCGATATTTATTTTTGAGTATCGGATTCGTATATTTTAAAATTTTGTATTAATCGACAAAACATTAATCAATAAAAGCAGCTACAAAAACATTCGTGTGCTGTTGTCGTTTTTTTCTTCGTCCAACTGTCAGTAATAAAATTTTGGGCTCTAACCCAGTAGTAGTCGATAGACAATATATCGACATATCGATATTTATCACGCGATATATATCGATACTGTTTAAAAATATCGATACAATATATATCTATATTTTTTTCATTTGTCTATCCCTACCACCCTTTTACTTATTTATGCCGCCAAATAGTAGTGCGTGCACTGCTGTGTTCCAGTCTGAACTGTATAGAGAGCCAGATTACAGGCTGTATGGCATTCCATTTTAGTTCTCAGAGGTGATAAAGCATCCGAAGAGTTCTTCATTTTGAATTGGCTGTAGGCGTCCAAGGGCTGCATTAGTCACTTACCATCAGGTGGACTGTAAGTTCGTTTATCACTTTTTAATTTATAAAAATAAATATATAATAGAAAATATACAATCACTTTTAAAATCTAAAACATTATTTTGTTGTATTAGTTACATGCAAATAATAAGAATTTCTGCTCCTGTATGCTTTATCTCTTATATTTTAGTGATATCCATCGACTTCCATTGACGATGACATTCTATCGGAACTTGAAGTACTACAATTCATACTGTAGTTCAAATTGCTAAGAGACATGTCCTGTGGTACATCGGAAGGCGAAGTCTGATAGTAATTGCTTGCCGCGTACGTTTTAGCAGTATATGCAGAGGGTGGCTGGGACGTTTCAACTTGCGTACTCTCTTTATCACTAGTCTCCATGAATTCTATTATTCTCTGCGTCGCCTTAACGTGAGCGACGATTGCAGCCTCCGCCTGAAATAAAATCATAATATTGTTTAGGCTTGGGTAAAAAATATCGATATATCGAAATTTTCTCATAAAAATACATATATATCGTCGATATTTTTAATCGCGATTTTAGAGTATCGAATTAGTATCAATTTCGATATATTTTAAAATGTATTAATGGATAAAACATGAAGGAACAAAAGCAGCTTGCCGTTTTTTTATTTCGTCGTCAAACCGTCAGTAATTAAAAAAAATTGGGCCTTATCCTAGTAGTAGTATCCTACATCATGCAAATGATGACGATATATCGATTATCACGCGATATATATCGATACTGTTTAAAAATATAGATACGATATATATCGCTATTTTTTTCACTTGCCCATCCCCAATATCACTTCTCTATCACTTCACAGGACGTCTATGTCCGCACTAAGTTCCAGCACTGGTCCAGTATGTTGTGTGGCAGACATGAGACAGACACGAGTTTTCGGTTTACTCCACTTTTTCCCAATAAAAGTTTACTCTTTATAATATTTTCGTCTACTTTCCCCACTAATCGTTTCTTGGTGGGACAAATTACACTGTTACAATAACTTCGTTTACTATTCCCAACCAGGGCCATATCTATCGAGAGACGGCTGACAGTCAATTACAGATGCCGTTAGACAAATTATAGAGTGCCCGCACGTATTTTCAAAATATTTAGTAACTTTTCGATAGAATTAGTAGTTACAGTTTTACTAAAAAGAGTGAATTCTAATTATTTTTCGTTGTTCATGGTGCTGATTGTCTGTGCATCATGTACCTTGGCGTTCATACTAACCCCGCGCACACACCGAAAGACTACTACAGTAATTATTACTCGGCTAGCAATACATAAAAGGCTTTTGGTGCGGTAAATATCGTACTGTGTAGACTAGTGCCGCTTTGTACTTAAAATGTTAAGAACACAATATAGTATGATGGTATAAACATTGTCAGCCATCTTTTTAATATATTTATTAAATCATCGTAACGTTTAATGCAAATACTGCACATAAGATAAATTAATTTTTTTAAATATTAAGCAAGCCAAAGAAATATTAAAACTGCTTCAGAAAAAATTATAAAACTTCAATCCCATATACAAATACACAACTAAAATGCATATTATTATAATTGCGCCTCACCATCATCATTACAGCCCAACACAAGTCCACGGCGAAACTAGGCCTTCCCAAGAAATGCCACAAAGCATAGTATTGACCCATCTGAATCTATACACACTTCTCTTACCGGTGTATGTGGCTGCCACTTAAAAACCTCTGCGCCTCATACATATTATGATATAATTTACTAACATAAAGGTAAAAATAATAATATGTTGCATAAAACTATATAGGTACAACAATCTCTCTACATAATATACATATAAATAAAATTGTAGATGTGTATTACTGAAAATATTATTTGTAGGTCTCAAGCAGTGGCGGATTATCCTTATGGCAAACTAACTAGGCACGTTCCTTTTTTTATCGTGGGGAAATCCTCATGGATACCTTCTGCTGCGGGGGCAACAGAAAGGTTGCCCAACTCTTACCGGCCAAAACTCCACGGTGGTCTCCATCAGCGTATATGAGGGGTCCCAGGATCTCCGTTCGGAACGCAAACCAGGGCCCCTCTCTCGCTTTGCTCTATTAAAGCACATCCCGGGGGCAGTCCTTTCGAGACCACTTTCGAGTCACCATCCTCCTCAGGTGTTACATCACTAGACGCTCAGGGACCCTGCCCCGAGCGTCCGTAACCCCCGTGACCCCGTTTCTGGTAGGGAAACACCATCATCAAGGGGATGGCCGTGACGAACGCCTGGGCGGCGTCGTCTCCAAGCGGGATCTGTCCTCTCCCGACACCACTCAGCAGCCTCCTTCTGGACCATAACGGATTCACAGAAGGCGGCTACGGCCCTCCACGCGGAGTCCCTGCTCAGCATCACCGTCACGACTGCTGACAGGTTTCTGACCGATCCGGCGGCTTACCAAGATCGTCCGCTCCCGTTCCCAAGCTGGGCATGTTGCCAGCGTATGGGATGCGGAGTCCTGTTCCTGCCTACCGCAGTGGAAATAGTTCGCCGTCGCTTCACGTCCAATCTTACATAAATAATCACCGAAGCACCCGTGCCCGGTCATTATCTGTGTAAGTCTGTAGGTGAGTCTTCCTGCTCTTCGATGCATCCAGGCTTCCAAGTGCGGCAGGATTGCTTCAACAACGAGTTTGCGCGCATAACGCTCTTCAGAGATGCGAGCGCGCCACGTTACGAATGCGTTAAGTCGTTCCTGCCGCTTGACTCCTTCGAACACCTCATCTGGCTCACTCCCGACGCTCTGGCGGAGGACACGCGTCCGGTCGTACACCCTCGCATCAAAGGATATCGTGGGGTATCCTCGCACGATCCGCTGCACCCTGTAGATGTTAGCTCTACAGCGTTGGATGGCCAGCCTTTTCGCCCAAAAAGGCGCCCCGTAAAGGTTAAAAAAAGGTTACAAACGAAAAAAAATTCGTCGTATTTGATAACTCCTACATGGCCTTTACTCTCTCATCACATTTTTCATTTACGTCTAACTGTTAAGAGTAGTAGTGTCCTAATTATTTTGCTACTATTACACTACATTATAAATTATAGATGATATAGTCTATTTACAAAATGAGTAGCATAACTACTTATTTTGTTTGTAAAATATGCTAGACTAGCTTAGGGCATTATGTCGACATTTAATCCGCCTCTGGCCTCAAGTAGTTTTTCTGTTTGTATTGTGTCTACAAATACGGAATAAACATGAAAATTTATGTAACCATCAGTTTAAAATTTACTCGGGTCATTACTGGTAGGCGTTGCTAGTTTCCAACAAATCACTAATAGCATTCTTCTTTTTCTAAAGAACACAGCAGAACGTAGGCGTCTTATGTTGTTTGCCTTAATTGTCACGCTTAATTGGGAGTCAAATTGACGATCGCAATACTTCGCTGGGCTTCTCACACCTTTGGTGCTGCTGCTGAAATCTAGTCACTATTTTTTTTAACTTTTTATAAGCCAGTGCTTGACCACAATCCCACCTGGTGGTAAGTGCGTAACAAAAGCCTATTCACTCTTACCTTGAAAATAGACGCCGGTAAATTATTCCACTTCTTTGCTGAACGCATTACAAAAGACGAAGCAAACCGTTTGGTTCTAATGCGTGGAATATCGACAACAAAGGGACAAAGACCCGCCGACCGCCTGATTGTCCGATGGTGGAAAGGAGTAGGAAGAATTAAAGCGTGTAATTCCTGCGCACACTCACCGAAAGGCATCCTATAGAATACCGAGAGACTGGCTACTCTGCACCTGTGCTCGAGGCTGACGAGATTGTTTTCAACCAAATCAAGGCCACCAAAGAGCCTCTTAGCACGTTTATCCACTTAGCCCGCAGGTGGCATTTTTGCAGCACCGGTCCATATATGACAGCAGTACTCCATGCACGACCGAACTTGCGCTTTATATAAGGTAAGAAGCTGCCCCGGCGTGAAGTACCGCTGCACCCTTGCAAGTACACCAAATTTCCTTGCGGCTGCTTTGGCGCTGGACTCAATGAACCGCCCATAGTTGAGGTTCGGAGAAAATTCAACCCCTAACAACTGAAGGCAGTCAGTATACCTCCAAGAATACATTCCGGAAAGTAGGAGCTAGGGTGAGCTGGCCCCTTTTAACGGTGAAAAGACACGCTTGTGTTTTGGATGCTTCTCTTTGGGAAATTTTGGGAAAATCTCACGGGCCCCTTTTAACGGTGAAAAGACACGCTTGTGTTTTGGATGCTTCTCTTTGGGAAATTTTGGTAAAATCTCACGAGATTGGCATCGCCCCATTCAGAGACTACCTGTAGTGTGAGACTCACACGCTCAACCATAGCCTCTCTTTCTGACTGGATTTGATCCCGACTGGCCCAGGCCTTGGTTGGTATCCCAACAACTGTGCTGTCATCTGCATACTCATAGATACTGGGACTGAGCAGATCATTTATATGCAGCAGGAAGAGAGTTACGGAGAGAACGGACCCCTGAGGAACACCGGCGTTAGTCACCACAGTATCGGATGAGCAGCCATCGACGACGACCCGCAGAGACTGTTCACTCAGAAAGTCCTTCACCCAGACAATCAGGCCAGGGGATAAGCCGCACGCTGAAAGCTTTCCCAATAGACTAGTGTGGCAAACCCAGTCAAAGGCCTTCGAAACATCGAGGGAAAAGACAAGTGCTCCACCACTGTTCTCGAGGGCTTCGTGCATAGCGGGGCACACACCAACAACTGTCTATGTATACACAATGTAACATCGCGATACTCACACTGGCCGTGAGCGACAGGAACGTGTAGTACTTGCGCAGCGTGGGCAGCAGCGGTGCATAGCTGGGCACACACCAACAACTGTCTATGTATACACTATGTAACATCGCGATACTCACACTGGCCGTGAGCGACAGGAACGTGTAGTACTTGCGCAGCGTGGGCAGCAGCGGTGCATAGCTGGGCACACACCAACAACTGTCTAACAACGAGTTACGGAGAGAACGGACCCCTGAGGAACACCGGCGTTAGTCACCACAGTATCGGATGAGCAGCCATCGACGACGACCCGCAGAGACTGTTCACTCAGAAAGTCCTTCACCCAGACAATCAGGCCAGGGGATAAGCCGCACGCTGAAAGCTTTCCCAATAGACTAGTGTGGCAAACCCAGTCAAAGGCCTTCGAAACATCGAGGGAAAAGACAAGTGCTCCACCACTGTTCTCGAGGGCTTCGTGCATAGCGGGGCACACACCAACAACTGTCTATGTATACACTATGTAACATCGCGATACTCACACTGGCCGTGAGCGACAGGAACGTGTAGTACTTGCGCAGCGTGGGCAACAGCGGTGCATAGCTGGGCACACACCAACAACTGTCTATGTATACACAATGTAACATCGCGATACTCACACTGGCCGTGAGCGACAGGAACGTGTAGTACT